AATTCCGGTGTCTTCGTGGTATCGTCTGYTTAGTTCAGAAACAGTCATCATGTTGCAAACCTTCGAGTCTTTGTATGCCTTGGCTCCGAAGAATGGCTTTCCATCAACCATGGAAATAGGAGCTACACCTCCTGCTTCGAATCCTTCCAATTSTCCAAGATCAGCTCTGGGGTATACGAGACCACCTCCAACTGTGTTRSTGTTTCCAGTAATGGATCCGACGATGCAAACACGGGCCCCCTTGGCACGACTCATGTCCTCAAGCAACAAGTTGACCAGCAAAAAGTGTCCGAGATGGTTAACACCCATGGACATCTCGAAGCCATCGTCAGTGAATGCCGGTTCGGGGTCGGTAGGGCGGTACACTGCCGCGTTACAGATCAAGTGAGTGAGGGGTCGGGCGCTCTTAAACGCCTTGAGGTTGGCGACGAAGTCACGAACAGATTGGAGACTGGCAAGTTCCAACTTCATGCATGTGTASGAGTTTTTGGGCAAGCCAACTTCCTTGGCCACTGAGTTCGAATTATAAAAATTAAGTAATTTGAGGCAAGGGAAATCATAAGAAGAGTGAGTCGATGTTGTATTCTTCCTCCGAAATATGCGTGCGACTSGCAGTTTGCGAGAAATGCAAGACAAACAAACCGACTATTTGTTCGCATGATTCAKTGTTCCTTTGGTTGAAGCCAACTCACCTCTCTTTGCCTTCTCGATATCACGGCACGCCATGACAACGTGGTAGTTGCCCTTCTTTGTAAGGGCGATGGTGGTRGCGAGTCCCAGACCGGATGAAGCACCGGTGATCACAACGAGCTTTTTCAATCCAATCTTGACTCCTCCCAACACTTTGGGCGTCTCCTTGGCATCATAAATCTTGTCTGAAKCGGTACCGACGTCACTGACTGCCGCAAGTGCAGAGTTCGAAGTGGTAGTTGCGAATGGCGCGGGAGCAATCGCATTTGCGGAGCTCACGGCTGTTTGGTGGGCGACCGGGGCGGGTGCGAAACCAGCAACCAAAGGCGCGGCAATGAATGCAGCGGTGAGAAGGGATCTGATGGCCATTCTGATATATTTTTTTGTAGTAGTGTGTTGTATTGGATGAGCGGTAGGACCTCCAGAAATCAACAAATTAATGTGTAGAAGTACGTTTGTCGTCGTAAATTTTTCGTCGTCTGAGAAGAATAAGTTCCAGGTGAATGTGATGAATCATTTCTCTTCGATCGTGGTTTTGATGGGTGGGCGGGTTTTTTCCTTCAGCTTCTTTTTGATGCCAAGTGTCGCACGTGCTTTTTCAGCCTGTCGCGATTTTGGATTGGGAGAGCTAGTTTTGAAAGAACAAAGATTTTGTTCGCTGGTTCGACTTTTTCTSGGAAAGGATCCTTCAACTTGCACAACTTCGAATTTCGTTCCCCGTGGAAGTATAATCACGGGAGTCGACTGAGTCATTTTCGTKAACAGGAAACAGGGGGAAACAATTGGTTCTGTTCCAATATCCAATGAAAGCCTTCCACGTATCAGAAAAATTCTTTAAACTACTTCTAAAAAAATTCTCGTTACCCAAGGCCAGTAATACTCGTAACCTTGTACGAAGTACGAGTACCGGTACAGTCGTACAGCACAAGTTGAATCGGAGAAAATTTACAGGCAAAATTAACGCGAAATTTGGCCAACCACTACTACTAGTACTACTAGTAGTAGTACTACTACTATGACTTTGACAGATTAGTTCTGAGCCTCTAGTAGAGCATCCTTTGGTATCCCAATGACACCAACCTATAGGAAATTGTATTCACTTGGACTGGGCACTTAGTCTGGAGATCTAGTAGAGTTGGTTTTTGATAAAGTTCTGGTGGCCTACTAGTAGTACTAGTACTAGTAGTAGCTATTTTGTACTAGTACTACTAACACAGCCAATTTCTGAAAACAGCACAAAAATTCAGTGAGAGTGGTGGCTATTAATGTGCTGTCAGCTCCCCAAGGCCTATAATCATGCAATAATGACACAGGACACTCTCTGTGACACTATACCCACCACCAAGCTTATCCCCAAAGGCCCAAGGGGGAGGACATTACTAATACTAGTAGTACTAGTAGTAGTACTACTAGTACTACTTCTACTAGTACTAGAGGCATTTCTTGTTCTGGAGCTGCTGGTGTGGTTCTTAGTACTAGTACAAGTAGTAGCTTATTCTTGAACTGTTTGTAGACAAAAAAGGAGTGACCAAATGCTAGTAGTAGTAGATCTAGTATATAGGACCCAGTACTAAATATTGGGCTTCAAAATCAACTGCAATGCTACTACTACTACTACTAGTACTAGTAGTAGTTGTTGTTGTACTAGTACTAGAAGGGAGGAGTACGTGTAATGAGTTTTGGTGTTTGAGTAGTACTACGTCACATAAACCGTTTTCATGGTGTCGCGCTAATCGCGCGGTGAASGAGCCTCTAATTTCGTAGTGACCCCCGGTTATATCTTGCCCGCGTTGATTATTCATTTCCGTATCACCGTGCTATCTTGTCCCGCAATATATTTTCTTCAAATCAATAATATTTTCATCTCGTGCAAGATATCACATATTGGTAGCATTCGAAACAACCATTCTTGTTCGAAAAAAAATATGTCACCTCTCCAGATTTTTTATTTTCCAATTTTGCTACATGTCTATGTTCAGAATACATCAAACACAACAACTTCATAATTAATCTGTCATGGGCCAGTCGTCCAAGCTAAGAGTTTTCTGCCGATGGTGTTACAAAAAGGAAGAACCAAACAACAAATCGAAAAAAAAACGCAAGCGACCCAACCTTTTTTCTGCAACTAGAAGGCAAAAGGACGGTGTTGTAACGTCACGACAGCTCTTACGTCATCTAAGTGACAACAACAACTGCTCTTACCACTACGGTTATCGCTTGGGCGGTGTAAAGGATTTCTCTAGCTCCGTTTTTGATCYTGAAAAATTTCAGGCTCGCCTTGGCCACAAATTCTGTCTTACGAATACCCAAAATGGCCCAGGTTCTGCTTTGCCAGAAAATCTCGATTCGCAGGTTATGTTTGACCCAACCTGTCCACGCAT